CCAGCCACTCCTCGGAAGGAAGATGGGGCAATCTACTTCCGTAGTGATACTGCCTCGGAAACCCAAGGAGGGGTCGCTATGGGTTGGGTCCGACTCGATGGCACATAACAACAACAACGATTTCACTCAGCATAATAGGCTCTAAATTCACCCATGTTATGAGATGTTTTGCACATTCTTCATTGTTCATTAACATTGCATACTACTCCATTGCGTGTATCCTATCCACAATTTTAAAAACAAACTTAAAACAATACCAACAGCAGTAGCCTTCTAAGTAATTACAGGATAACACCATTCTTCTAAGAGCCTTTGATGTGGAAATCTATCAAAGGCTTTTGGAAAAGCCAAATAAGGTCTACTCATCCTCCCTTGTCCTTTTGTCTGTATAAACATCCTGAGAACTCCAGAGCAGTTGAGTACGATTCTCCTTTATAGAAACCATGTATAAGTGCTTCATGGTTCTTTCTAGTCTGTAATTCGTCCACCTTGTGAACACCTTGCCGCTACACTATTGTGATATTGCATTAACTCAAGGTACAGGCTTATCAGAGTTTAAGTTCTAATCTTCAGATTTGGCTATTTTAATTCAGTCCTATGTACGTTTTATTTAAAAATAGCCAAAACTGTGTGCCAAGCACAGTGGCTGATGCTAGGAGTAAAATATAGATTGTTCCTACTCACTGAGGTGCATAGAATATAAATAAAAAGAAAAACTTAGAAATAGTTGTTTTTGGGGGGTTGGGGGGAAAGGCTAGTACTAAGAGATAGTAAGTACTAAGACCAAAGAAGAATTGATGCCTTTGAATCGTGGTATTGGCAAAAAATATTGAAAATACCACGGACTGCCAGAAGAATGACCAAATCTGTCTTGGAAGAAGCGCATCCAGAATGCTCCTTAGAAGAGAGAATGGTCAGACTTTGTCTCTTGTACTTTGGTCATGTTGTCAGGAGGGACTAGTCCCTGGAGAAGGATATCATGCTTGGGAAAGAAGAGGGTCAGCGAAAAAGAGGAAAACGCTCACTGAGACTCTTGATACAGTGGCTGCAATGATGGGCTCAAGCACGGTGAAGATTGTGAAGATGGCACAGGATTGGAAGGTATTTTGTTCTGTTGTAATAGGGTTGCTGTGAGTCATCACCGACTCAATAGCGACTAACAACAAGGGATAGGATTTGGCAGTGGTGAATAGGGGAGCTCTGGTGGCGTAGTGCCTAGGGCATTTGACTGCTAACCAGAAGCCTGGCGGTTCAAACTCACCAGCCACTCCTTGGAAGGAAGGTTGGGCAACCTACTTCCCTAGTGATACTGCTTCAGAAACCCAAGGAGGGGTCACTATGAATCAGGTCTGACTTGACAGCACATAACAACAACAACACAGTGGTGAATGGAATAGTTTCTGCAGTCAGACAGAAGTGACAGGCATGTAACATGAGCCAGGCCAATCAGAAACT